TAACATGCTTTTTTCTTCTCAGAGTACGACAGCTTAAAAAAGAAAAAAAAAACTACAAATAAAAACAGAACGAAACGAAACAAAATAGAAAGAAATAAAGAAAGAAAAGGGTTGTGGTATTGGGATATTGCAGCTTTTGGAATGTTCATCTTTTCTTTTTTAAAATCTACTTTCATTAATATTAAGAGAGGAACAGATAAAAGTAAACAGGCTGTGTGAATGAGCTGTTAAGAGTTAGTTAGAAGCTCATAGCAGCATTTAAGCAGGCACAGTCAGTAAGATGGTAGTGGATTTGCAAATTATGAGCAGAAAAGCAAAAGGAAGAAAAAAAACTAAAATAAAAAAAAAAGCAAAGGAAAAAATAATCATACTGCGGATGCATGCTTGCGTGAGAAAACTTAGTGGGAGCAATGAAAAAAATGCCATTAGATTAAGGAGGTTTATTACTGAATTCCTTCCATTTTTTTTTTAACCAGTCTCTTTTAAAGAAATACTGCATATTCAATTTGCACAGTTAGTTCAACTCTGAAATCACTGTCATCACTGCTTAAACAACTGTTATGGGAAAAATAAATAAACAAACAAAACAAAAGTTAAATTAAATTAAAAAAAAAACCAACAACAAAAGCAACTGAAAAAAAAAATCTACCGAAACATACAAAACCGTGTAGATGGTCATTTTAAAGAATGTTCAAATGTCATACGTGTTCAATGTTAATAAAACTATAATGGCAAGAAAAATTAAAAAACAATTTATCAACTATTTTAATGACTCAAAATGACATTAGCACCTGTAATCGGAGGAAGTGAAAGGCAAGGATTTAGGAAACATTCGCTGTGTTCTGAAAAAAAAGAACAAATTATACAAAGCCTTCAAAATTTTTGTTTGTTTGTTTGTAAAAGCCTGGCCTTCTCCAGGGGACCTCTGAGATTGCCTATGCAGTATTTCTAATTTCTTCTAGAGAATGACAAACCTCCTTAATTTAAAATGGGTGTAATTTACCACTGTAAAGGCATGCATCAGAACATTCAGGAACAGCCCAGTTAATATCCAACACTCACACACACCCGCTCCTACGCCCCTAAGCCCCCTCCTTGCCCCTTCTCAGACACATACAAAACAAGCAGACTGTATAAACCCCGGCATAGGCATGCCTACAGCTTGCTCTCCAGCTACAGGCTTTGCAGTTATTTAAAAACACATTCCACTAGAATTACAATGTGCTTTTTCATGCAACAATGAATGTTACTAGCTTTAAAAGGGCAGTCATGAAGCAATTAATTAAAATGCATAAACAAAAAAGCTGGCTAAGATGGGTTCCCCAACAATGTCCTGGCCTTGAATTTCTCCTGCCTCCCCCAGATGGAAGCCTAACATAAAAGAGTGGTCCTCGGGCTACTGCTCCTTCTTCTATCCTGATTATTGCAACTTACCATTGGTCTCTCCCGGCTGCTTGTCCCTTTTCCTCTTCTTCTTCTTCCCCTAGATGAACAGATGAAACACAGGGAATTATCTCAAGAAACAGACGGGAGGTGGGTATCTGGGCTCACCTGGAAGCAGAGGGCAGGAGGAAGGGACCACCTTGCCACCTCTATCCACACTCAACCCTGGAGTTTGTCCAACCTCCAACCTCCTTTCATCCAAATGCCCTTGACTATGCCCCAGCTAGAGGGACACACACCTCTTAGGAGAGAAGAAGGGACTGGCAGGTGGTGAAAGAAAGATCTCTCTGCTACTGCATCTATATCCACCCTCAAACCTGACCCAGAGCATTTGGTGCATAAGAGGCAGAACTGCATGAGGAAGACTCAGGTAGGAGCACAGGGGCAGCCCTGGGAGCAGTCTGAGAGCCCACCTCCGAGGGGCAAATGAACGCGGGATGGTTGCACCAGCTTCAGAGCTGCCTGCCTGACCCACTCGAATCTCTCACTTACTAAGGCCGAGGGTCCCCATTCTGAATCAAGAGAATGAAAGCTTTAGCAGGGGCTTCTCCGAGAGCTGTAGCATCTTGGTTTTAAAAGATGGGGGTGAGGGGAAGCAAAATAGAACCAAGAATCATCTGAGCTCCTTTCAAAACTCCTCGATGGATATCCATAAGAGAGAGGGAAGTCCCCACCATTCTCCTCTAGCTCACATAATGAGTATGATAATCCTAATGATAATAGCTAACATTGATTGAGCACATACTAGGCACCAGGCCCAATTCCAAGTGTGCTACACAGACTGACTCATTTTAATCCTCACAATAGTCCTAAACAGGTATGATCACCATTCCAATTTTACAGATGAGAAAACTGAGGCACAGAGGGGTTAGGTAACTTTACTGAGGTCACACAGCGAGCAAGTGGTGGGGCCGGGATGTGAACACAAGTGGTGCTCTGCGCTCCACAGCCTTCAACCATGAGGCTCTGCTGCTTACATATTTAATGCCTGGCCCACGAAGGAAACCCTTTTCTTAATTGATCAAGGGTGATGAACTGCATGGAGTCATTCGCATTCTGCAACCTGACCCTCCTTGATATCCTGACGGTCTGTCCATGCTTGCAGATGTGAAACAGGGAGGAATTCTGTCGAGGCAACTGACTCATTCCAGGCCTGAAATTAGTTCTCCCTCACCATCTAGCCCTATGCATATGAGGTAGCCGCCTGGTATAAATTAAAATGCAATGGTCTCATACTTGTGCATGTTTCAGAACATCTAAATAATACCTTAGCCTAAAGGTTCTCGCAGTATGTTGATGTCGACTCCAAAAAGAAAAGGACAATGATAGGTAGAAAACCCGAGAATATGTTAGGCTCTTAGGCTCTGTAAGGAGAACTGCGAGGAAGAGATGCCACAGAGTTCTGGCTGCACCCAAGGGCCGAGAGCCACCTGTTTTAGAGAAGAGCCCTCTTTTCTCTCAGGTCAAGGGGACGGTGCCACTTGGGCAGTTTGTTTTGGAGTTCGGTTCAGCACTTCTCTTCAAACATGCTATGCTCCTTGGTTTTTAAGAAAAGGAGTTCGTGTTCCCTCTCACAAGGCTGGACCCTCCGTCTTCATGTTTGTGCCTCCTCTGTGTAAGGAACAAAGTGCCACCTGGCTGTCTCGGGACAGGCAGGAGGGTCTAGTTTCAGCTGATTTAGGAGCCTAAAGTAAAAACTCAACTGGGCACAGAAACATTTTAATTTCAAGATGTCTCGGCATCCACATACCCCTGGGCTTCCCAGTCATCTTTAATGCAATGTTCACCCATTTCCAAGTCCTTGCGGTGTATTCTGACGGCACTAGAAACTCCCCCTACCCAGGGGATGCTGTTATGTTAGGACGTATGGTGAAGATGTTCATCACTGAGGAAGTTATCATTTAGCCTGAAGGCTTCCAGAGGCCAAGGACTGTGTTTTAATAGGAAGAGGTAGGACGAGGGCATGAGAAAGTGAGAAGACACTACCCTTAGTGAGGAGGAAGATGCACCTCCAGGGAGGTGGCCACCCCATTACTTCTTTAAATGTCTCAGAAGGAAGAAAAGGCCTAATATACGGAGGTGAGAAAAAACTCAGATGAGCAAACGGCATTACCTAATATAGAAGGAGTTAGGAAGGAAATAATGTTTAATACAATGCCAGGGGTTAGACATTACTATGGTACTCAAAATATTTTCTCTTGTGCTCTACAGAACGTGCCAAGCCTGACTGTGACTGTTTTACTCAATTCTGTTTTCCTGAGGTAGAGATACAAAGGCTTGTGTTACCACTTGGCTGGAAGAGCAAGAATGTGAAAGAGGCATGAGGTGAGCTCAGAAAATATTTTCCAGAAGAACCTTCTGGACTTTACAATGACCAAATTAATTTGCAGAAACTCCTATGTCAAGTTAGTTAAAAAGAAATACTAACAAGTTTCCACCATAATCGAATCCATAAAAGCTTCAATTCTGTGGGTCTTGTCCCCAGACTGTTCCCTGGGTCACAGAACAAAGGAGTATGAGAGAGAGAGAGAGAGAGAGAGAGAGAGTCTGTGTGTGTGTGTGTGTGTGTGTGTGTGTGTGTGTGTGTGTGCGCGCGCGCGCGCATGTTCACACCCAGGTGTAATGAGTCATTGTAATAGGACTGTGGCAGTACCTACCTCTTACGAGAGATAAAGTTCCTGTTGTCCTCTGTCTAGATCTATCTCTAAACTTTCTCTCAAGTCTTCTCAGGAACTCCCCTGTTCTACCAACTTATCTTCCGCATGTAAAACTGAGCTAAAGTCATTTCAAGTGCCCCATGGAACCTTCTGAAACCTAAAGAGGTACTTTATAAAAAGCCTCAAGCAATACTTTGTCTAAATGACTCCTAGGCAAGTCAAACACTGTATTCTTTTGAAGCTGTCACAAAGTCTGCCTTGTACCTTTGGGGAGATTTCACCCTGCACAACTCCAGGGGGCACCACTCACACAGACCACAGTGTAAATGGCATACCCTAGAGTTTTGCAGTGCACGCCCTGCACAGCTGTACATGAAGGCCCTAGTATGACCCAAAGTGTCTATTGGGGATATGATATCTGTGGAGAAGCTGAATTCCTCGCTGTGGTACCATTCTAGATTACTCAAAGAATTGGGTTTGTAGCAGGTAGTAGAAGCTCGAGATGAACTCTAAGAACTTCTGACCCGAGACCAGGAGAGCAGCTGTCCTGAAATCAGATGGTTGTGTGTGTGTGAAGGCTCTGGAGCCTGCCCGCTGCTGGAAAGCTCCACCTCGGGGTCAGGAGGGGGTGAGCAGAATGCCTGTGGGAGAGCAGTAACTTTCTCATCCTCTTCCTTTCAGCTCCAGAAGAAAGGCTTCCCCACTGCACACATGCTGAGGACAAACGGAAAGGTCCCAAGCAGTTAAGACCCTGTGCAAGCCCACCTGTCGGCGACAAGGCTCTCAGCAGAGCACGCGTGCCATCCAAGAGGTGCTAGCACTCCTTCCTGTCTCAACTCCCAGGAGGCGGGCCTGAAGGGAGATGAGCTGGGGCAGCCCCTTCTCCCTCATCAGTGAGGCAAGCGCAGGTTTAAAGGTATGAGAAGAAAGAGGGAGCAAACTTGAAACAGCGAGTCAGAGGGAGCAGAAGGCAGCCCGCACGCGGGACCCCATATTCACACACACGTTTGTGGTTTCCTGGCGGACGGCAAGTTCTGACAGAGGAAGGACCTGACTTAGCTCTGGATCGCAGAACACCTGTGCACAGCGAGTGCACCATCAGTGATCATTTAATGACCTCGGCACCCCCCAAAGAAGAGCTTCTGTCCCACAGATGAGGCCAACAGGAGAGTCAGAAGAACTTGGGAAAGCAATCATGCATGGCTCCACGACATCGACAAGGGAGGGAGGAGAAGCTTGTGCAGCCTGAAGACCAGTTCTGTGCCCCCCCAGCAGTGGATGGTGGAATCACTCCATGAAGCCAAATGTATCAGGCAAGATAAGAGGCATTTCATCCATCTAGAGAAGGAAGAGCTCGGAACTTGAGCTACTGGGCAAAATGCAGGATAATCAATAATCAATAGTGACCCAAGTCTCCAGAGGACAGCAAGTTTGTGGGAGGAGAGAGATTGTGGAGACACAACCACTGCAACTAGGAAAAGTAATAATCCTACAGTGTTTTCTAAAACCCAGGAAAGGAAATTAGGCCAATTCATAGCCAACACAGAGCCCAGGAACACACACGTCACATAACACACACCCTTCCTGACCCCTGCTAGGCCCAGAGTCATTTCATCCATCCTGCCAAAGGAGGACTTTCAGGGATATTCCCATCATGCCCCTCTCCGGATGAAATAGGCTTCCAATTTCTACTGCATCATGGCACAGGCAATTGTTTTCTTTTTCCTTCTTAAGGGTGAAGGCCCTGCTGGAAGACCTGTGAGGAATTAAACCCTCTTCCTCCACCCCTATCCACTGGTCTTCCCTGTAAGGCCACACCACTGATAACCACTGAGGAGCATGGGGAACCTAATCCAGAACTTAAGTTCCTTTTGGGCATATCCTAGAGCCCCGCCTCCTCTAGGAAGTGGGCAAGCAGGTGTGGACAGCCCGAATTCAACCTCGTGAGTCCTAAGCTGGAACACTGGAACACCAGCTTCCTTCCTCCACCCTACAGAATTACCGTGTGCTGATAGGGCCGTCCACACTAGAAGCCAGGACAAACCCCTCTAGTTTGGTGATCTGGCAAGATGCTAACAGTCCCCAAGGCGGGCTGAGGCCTGATTTGAGTTGGAAGTTCCCATTCTCTCTGTCCGTACAAACACACGATACGTCTCTACAGACTCTCGTCTTACGGAAAATGATCCACCTACATAGTTATCCCTCGCGGACCAGCCGGGATACAGCTGCATGTGAAGCTGTCGCTCCTTCCGGGCCAGCTCGTAGTATTTGGCTTGCTCTTCTCTGGACAGTGCATGCCACTGGAGGGGACAGGGGTGGGGTGAGAGAGACATGCAAAAACATCACCAACTACACTATGGTCGGGGAAAGCATGATGCTGCTTTTCGGGGAGAGTCCACCCAGAAATGGTATAATTTGTAGATACTAACAGTTTGGTGAGTCCTGGCACTAAGAGGAAGGCTCAGACAAAACTTGATTTGTCATCTGTGTCATTCTATCATTCGCTGTCTCGGGGGTGGGGGAGGATCACGGCTGTGGCTGTTCTGAATGCTATCTGAACGCAGGATGACTAGTCCCCCCTCAATGAGGCCATTCAGGGATTTGGATCATTGCTGAAGGGAAAGGATTTGCCAAAGAAACGGGGACGCAAACATTTTACCACCCGACCTGCTGCGCTCTAGTTCATTCTCCCCCTTGTCTCCCTGTGGAGGGTGTCACCTACCCTTCGCCCGAGGATCTGGTTGATGGCCGCGCTCTCTTTCAATGTGCACTCAGCTACGACCTTTGCTCTCATTTCCTTCATATACAACATGAATGCGTTAAGAGGTTTCTTTATGTGGGGCTTCTTCTTTTCTTCTTCCTTTTTGGAGTCCTGATGCTTTCTGGATATAGATAAAACAGACACAACCCAATAAACAATCACACGGTCCAACTTCCTCCAACGCAGAGAGCCCATCTCCCTGCCTCCTAACACCCAAGCCTAGCAGTTTTGAATAGAAAGCACGCTTCCACTTTTAGTTTTCTTCACCCCGGAAAATGGAACAAAAATAGCTTGGGGACGGGGGTGGGGGAAGAGAGAGATTTTTGTAATCACTTCCTCAAGTTTCACAAATATACGATTTTCCCAAGCCAGAGGGGGAAAGCACATCGTTGCTGTCTCCACTTCGGCAGGGTTCTCTCGTGCTTGTAGAACAAAGCTCCAAATGTTCAATTACAGGGTCGGCGGGGTGGGCGGGGAAGCGGTTGCCAATCCCAGTGCATCCAAGTACACACACAAGGAAGGGTTCCGTTCTAACCCACAGTGGCACAATCGGTGAGACTACACCACTGCGCATTTTCTCCTTCTTTTTAAGGCAGTGTCGAACCCACCAGGCGGGTGTTTGCTGGAGTCAAACCAAGCAAGGCCAACCCTAGGCAGAGAGCCACCACTCAGCGGCGGCAACCTGCTCACTGAACACGGTGGCAAAGAAGAAAGTGGTAAAAACAGCGACACTTACGAGCTATGGAGTGAGCCGACGTCACTCTGGGAGGATTCCTGTTTGACTGTCGGTGTGACTATGGCCGGATGGGGAATGCCGGTCGTGTGCAGAGTATGATGAGGTGGGACCATATGGGGAGGGAACCTAGAAGACAGAAAGCTGTGTAAATCGTCAGAATCAAAATGAATGAATGAGGAGGGATGTGTACACACAATTTAAAAAAAAAAAAAAAAACAGCACGTAACACTCACATGAAAGCAACCCAAGGCATATGAAACCTGTCAGCATTAATTAGCGATAAATTAAACATAATGATTCTCATAATGTCATTAAAGCCAATCTTCCCCTTCATTATTGCTGCTGACACGAGATATTACGATTTTTAACATCTTTGGCAAAAGACAAATTCAACTGATGTACTTGGGTGGAAAAGTGGGCTTGGAGTACCTGCTGGAAATCGCACGTCCACTTGTTTTTTGAGGCATTATTAGTGGCATCTAAGAAGACAATTTCCTAAGTCCTAATCAGCTCTAAAATGAAAGGTGAAATCTTTTGTTGTATATTGACAGCTAAATAAAATATTAACGTGGTTGAAATATACATACATTTTTGACAATGCTGTGCATGCCTCATTAGACCTCATTCTGTTGATGGAGTGCAATAAAATTTTTATTTTTCTTTTGTTGCTGTGTCCTATCATTTGACAGGATTGGGAGAGAGTGAGGCAGGAAGACAGGGGGAAAAATTCAAATATTTCCTAGTTGGTTCATATCGTAAGTCATGGACATTTTAAATAAGTTAGTATCCCTTTATGGAAAGATGCAAAAAAAAAAAAAAAAAGCACACATGCAATAAAGCTTTGAATTTTGATTTGTATGTCCTTCCTCCTGTCAAATTTAGGATTCCTAAATCACTTTGACTTAATATGTTGTCTATGCATCATTAAAAAGCCTTCTAAGTGATTATCAAAATTATAAATGAAGATAACGTTTGTGTTTTCTTCTCTAATACTGTTCATTTTTAGAACAGCTCTCTATAATACATTTTAGGCCCTGAATTGGTATTTCCCAACCAAGCAAATTAGCCAGGCCATAAAGAACTAATTTGCAAACAGCTCTTGGCCCATCTGCAAACTGACAACTGGATCAGACAGCCTAGCTTTCACATTTCCCATTACGTTTGGAGTTCCGATGATTTGTACTGGGTTAGAAGAACCACCCTTCTGAAAGTAACACATCCTACTGCAGAGAAAAGGAGGGTGAGGAACAAAGAGGGCGGAATCCCCAAAGAAAACAAAATGGCAGCCTGCTGCCCCACCTGGCAAGGCTCTGCAAGGGAGCAGACGGGAACCTGTTCAGATGGAGATCATAGCAATTGCTGCTTTCTTAATAAATCCAGACCAAAACAGCCCAATGTGCCACCCAGGGAATAACAACCTACTCTTTAGAAAGCCAATTCCAGTGGGCACTAAAGGTCCTAATGAGGTTTTATCCTGACAGTTATTTCACAAGGATCCTGTATTTGACAAAGTTCTTTCCATATGTGGATTAGAGAGAGTTTCCATTCAGCCAAAATAACATAACCAAAGTTAATTTGAAAAATCATTTGAAAAAACTTAAAGTACTAATAGAATCTACATAGATCAACAGAGGAAAAAATACCAACGGATAACGCTGATTTTTAAAGGAGGCCCAAAGCCGCAGTAGACACTAGACTCAGAAATTCCACCCTTACACGGTCTTCTCCTGCCGCCACCTTCGTAAGTTTAAGCCAGTGTTGAAATGTGGTAACAATGGCATGATTTTTTTTTTTTAGGTAAGAATCGTGCAAGTCTTCCCTTAGAGTGTCAAAAAAAAAAGGAGAGAGAGAAGGAAAAAGGCAAGAAACAAACAACCCCTATACCTTCCCCCCACCAAAAAAAGGGGAAATAAATAAATAAATAAAAGTCAGCCCTTGGGTTCCCAAGTCACACCCAGTTCCTTCCCACTGCTCAAAGGCCTCAGAGGAACAGAAGTTCAGAACATGTGTTCCTGAAAGCCCTTGGGTGAAGTGGTGGGTGGCAGCTTTTACTGTGAATTTTAAAGGCCTGACATTCCTCAAATATATATGTTCCCTTCTTGAAGAACGAAAATATGTGTACAGACATGTGAGGGCGAGCGGGAGAGAGAGAACACTGTGTGTGCGTGTGTGTACACACACTAAACATCATGGGAAAACACCATCATTTCACCACATTTTGGGGTGGGGACCAACTTTCCATGCTGCCACAGGGAAGGAACATTTCTATGTTCCCATGCCTACACAGATATTCCTATATCTGAAAAACGCACAACACTGAAAGAGACTGTGCACGAATGTGTATGTGGGTTGTACGCATACCTTCGCTTAAGAAATTCCTTTCTGCATACAACTATTTCATGAAATGCAATAAACACCCTAAAAATTCTAAGCAGCTCATTATATACCCCCGTCTGCTTTCATGGCTCCAAGCCAGAATATAATGATGAGCCTTAACTTGTTAAGGACAACTAATTTTTGTTTCTGGCTGTCTCAGGGGCTTCTCTCTTACTCACTCTCACTTTACTTCACTGTTGACACGTTTCTGTTAACTGGATGTCATCTGCCGGCCTTGATTTTATGCACAAGCAGTAGGATGCATTTTCCTGTGCAACAATCCTGCTTTGAGTTGCATTAGGTTTGTCATTATTCTCTCATTTTCCCCCTTGCACTTGTAACATTTCATCTCTTCCTGCCTTATTTTTTGTGAGCCACGGTGCACCCACATTATGGTTTATACATGATCTCGCTCCCTTTGAAGCCGGCAGATTTCAGAGCCGGCTCTCGTCAGGAGAAGAGCCTTGCACCAATTTAGCAGGCTGAGGGCCCGGAGCTCCAACATCTCAATCTAAAAGGGGTCACAGGGTGGCACAAGTGAGTGTCAGCAAGAGCTGTTTAATTGCCAATCTAGGCTTCTCCATGGTGTTTAAAGTATAATGACCCATCACTTAATTCTGAGAAGTCCTGGCCCCACTGCTGAATAGAATGAATATCAAAGGGTGTTCTGGAACAGGGCAAGCAGCCTACATTTGCTATAACTGCCATAAGTATAATAGACCTATACTTCTGTCGCCCCATTACCACAATAATGTATTTAATTTGCTGTATACGCTTTTTAACTAGCTACCTTTCATATAGCCTACCTGGGGGATCGGCCGTCTCTCCCCCTCCTCACACCTCGAGCCCCTAACCTTTCTTCCCACTGTTCCCCTTCCCTCCTTCCACCCCTCTGCCCACCTAGAAATCGACTAACCTCCTAATGATAATTCAATCGATAAGCTTAACCCCAATCCCTGTCCTACGACTACTTCACCGCTTTTAACCTCTGGAATGCACCAAATAAACAAACATGAAGAATAACCAGGTGCAATATATATATATAAACGCCGGGATGGTGGGAGGATGAGCCGCGGATTACCAGCTGCTCAGAAGCATGCGCCTCCTGGGAGACTCCCTATTTGTTCCCATGCTCCGTGAGGCTGTTGATGACATTATTTAATGAGTGTAACCTTCCTCTTCTCTCTAGACGAGAGAACGCACACGCATTTTTCCCGCCTAACTAATATTGGCGTGGATTTTGAAATTTTGATGATGTATCCCACGTGGGGAACGGATCTTTATTGGATACCAATGGAATAATTACAAATGCTAGATGTGCTATAATTTTTTTGTTTTTCTTTTTTTTTAATGAATCTGCTATTTACTCTCTCTCCACCCCAAATCACTCGCTGTTTGGTTAAGCAGGAAAAGAGGCATCTTGGCCTGTCTTTCCAGCCCTTTCTCTGATCTTGGCTTCCCACGTTGGCCACAGAGATTGGGGAAAGAGGCTACAGGACAGCATCCTCACCATGCAATGCCTGCTAATTCAATTCTGTGCCATCATCAAAATGGATTGGTTGTTTCAGCCCATCAGGAAAGTCTAAACCTCCACCGATTTAATTAACTTGACTGAAAATCAGATGAACAGAAAATAAAACTATCATTAGGAGCAATTAGTGACTACTTAAACATACTGCTGCCAACCAGTTTGTAAATAAACTAGCAGTCACTGAAAAATCAGCCAGAATTAATCAGAGGGACAAAAAAGGAGAACATGGGCTATGTGTATGTTGTGTGTGTGTATATATATATTTATACGCTTGAATATAAATATATAAATGTATAGCACACAGGCACATGATTTTTTTTCTTTTAACTTCTAAAGAATTAGAGCTGCACAGGCAGCTATGGTAGCCACCAGCCACGTGTGGCTATTGTGTACTTGAAATGCCAGTCCAAACTAAGATAAGCTGTTAAGTGTAAGAGACACATCAGATTACAAAAACTAAGTCCAAGAAGACTGTAACATCTATTAACAGTTTTTGTTCAGTGATAGAGCATGTGTTGAAATGATAATATTTTGGCTCTATTATGTTGAATGAAATATATCATTGAAAATAATTGCGACCTTTTTTGAACCTTTTTTAAAAGGTAGATGCTACGAAATGTAAAACTCCTTCCGTGATTCATATTACATTTCTACTGGACAGTGCTACCTTAGAGGGGGCAGGAGGATGCTTTCTTGTTGACTCTGAATCAGAGTCTGAGCTTTGAAAAAACCAATCATCTTTTCTCAGACTCTTCCTTATATAAGAATAAAATTACCTCCACCCCCGCCTTCCCTTCTTACCCAGGATAGGACAACAGAGAAATGACATTTTATAAAGCTCTACAGGTCCTATTTCTTCTGCCTTCTTAATGCCTTAAAACACACTGCTCAATGGATTGGCTCAAAAATTTGACCTAGAAAGATATCACTTACCTTGGAAGTTTAGGGCAATTTTTCAGTATTTTCTATTAGTACAGCCTATTGCCACATGGGCTTTACACTATTAGAATGACATGTAGCCACAGTCCCTGGGTGGCCCGGTAGCCATCTAAAGAACTTTCTGAGAAGTCACCCGTGGCCTTGGTTGAAGGCCCTGGTTCCTGGAACTCACCTGGACATGGAAGCGTTGACAGTCAGAGCTGTGGGGTAGGGATGTCTGAATCCTCCTGTCGTGATTGGGTACACTGGCTGACCTTGCCTACAAAGAAGGGGTACAAAGTGAGAGACTCGAAACAAGGGTGGGGGTTGGGACAAGGAAAAGAAGAAAAGGGAAAAGTTCTCTCTGCACAGTAAGCTTTATTCTCATTTGATCAGAACAAAAATCTTGGGGATTGTACAGGAAGGATCAAAGGGAAGAAACACAGAACAATTTGAATGCCATAAATCTGATAGGAATGGCTAATTAAATTTTATAACCTCTGCTTATGTCAATAGAGACCCTCTCCCCAAGCTGAAACTAGGTGTTTTGTTGTAATAATTAAAGGCGAAGTCTCGCTTGCTTTAATGGAGCCATCACACTAATTGAGGGCTACACATCCAAAGGAAAACAATAATGAATGTAAATTTATACCAAAATAAAGTACAGTGAATCAAAGGACTTCAGTTGCGCTTTGGGCCTCTTTCGGTATTTAGATCTCGGTGAGAAAACATTAAATTAACAGAGCTTAATTTGTAGCCTTTTGTCAAATTAACAAGTGTTGACAAGAGTTACCGGGGGGGAGAGTCCCCAAGAAGAATTGTGGGTAACCAATAGACAATCACACCTCATTACAATAATTAAAAAATACAGCAACATGCAAAATAGCATCCTCATGAAAGACACACAACTTTTTCTGACAGAGGGTTGTCTGAGTTGGCTATTCCTTTTTATCTAGCCTTCAAATATCTCCCCATCAGCTGAAGGGGGCAAGTGATGACTGAGAACTATTTGAGGAATGGCCCCATCAATTTAAGAAGAAATGGGTCACAAGCTCACGTTCATGTCTACCCTCCAAATAAAAATAAGGAGAGGACAAAGAAACAGAAGCTATGCCTAGGGTTGGTATGTGGTATAGTTTCTACATAATGCAATCTGGGTTTTGTTGTTTTGAAAAAAAAAAAAAAAACACAGCATAAAACCTGTTCAACTATCGACATAGGGGTAGAACTAGGGGGTTAGACCACTCCAAAATTTTATCTTCTTCAACACTATGAAAGGCTGTCTTCCCCTAAGACAACCAAACTTGAGACTTTTGCCAGGATTTATTTCTTCTAGCATTCAACACATTGTCCTATGTTTTTTTAGAGGAGAGATCACTAATAAACATGGAGAAATACAACCATAGAAGCATATAATTGCGAAACATATATTACATGCACATTCATGCAAACACACACACACCCACACCCACACACACACAAACCCACATAATATGCTTATGCACTAAAGGCCTTTCTACTTTGATTCTAAAACACACACACTTTTAAAGCTGTAAAAGGCAGTCGAGTTACCTGAGCGCTACCAGGACCTAGGGCTGACACTCAGGAAGGTCCCACATGCTGGAATGAGGGTTCTAGGTGCCCCATCCCCACCCTTAGCAGTTAGGTGAAGCATTCAACATGCAAAGAAGCTAGCGAGGTGCTGGTTAAACACAGTGGGGCTTCTCAACAGACGAAACTTTCCACTGATGTTGTCAACCTTGGGAGTAATGTTCAGGTTGGGGTTGGGGGTACTGGAATTGTAAGAGAATGAGCTCCACTCCAAACCCTGGATTTCAAAACTAAGTTCTTCCTGTTCCCACTCCCATGTCCCCAAATACGCAACACCTAAAAGGAGGGGACTCAGCTTCAACTCAATGACACGACTCCAGTTTGGGCTGCTGCTAGCAGAAGTGCCATGATAAGCCTTCTATAACTGCCCAGGTATATTAAAGGCACCTTTGTCTACAGGGCCTTTGGGGATCGCAGGTTCAGAATGCTAAGTATCAATAACCTTTTCCTAAATAATCCACCTGAATGGCTACTGATTTCCTTGCATTCCCATAGGACATCCCAGCAACATCTTCCCTGTGCCCTCCCCATGCTCCGCCACCAACCCTGCCTCCTAACACACACACACACACATGCACAGAGTAAATAATAAACATGCCCATGTAAGAAACGAAAAGGAAATTAAAAAATGGAACTCCTTACTGTGGTACTAACCATCCTAGCGGATGGGGGATTTGTCCTACGGTGCCGGGTGATAGCGGGTAATACGGAGATATATCTGGAGGGTGCGGAGGCCGTGGGATTCCTGAGAAAAGAAGCAGCATTTCAGTACAAAAGAGGGAAAGTAGGAAGGAGCGACTCTCAGAGAAGGGGAACAGGAAAAGGAGGAAGAGAGGCATCTCTTCTGGATTCCTAGCACAAGGTTCATTCACGATGATGATCCTAAGAGTTGGCGGTGGTCTCGTTTTCCCCCAGCCTCAGTTTGGAAGAAAATTAGTTTGTCTCATTTCAGATGGATTGGTATACTGGGTAGACTCAGACAGACTCGGAAAATGCCATTTTGGGTATTTCTGTCTCACGTGACTGGTGTGATTATCTGAAGTTTAAAGACAAACCGCACAACATCTGCAGGGCTTGGCACACAGTAGGGGATCAAGCAATAATAATTCCCTTGGCCCTTACAACGGGTCCCTTCACCTGTAAACTCTAATGACTCACCCGCACGGGAGTTGCTCCTCTCCTTTCCAACACACTTTTTGAGCTGTGGCTTTCGAAAGGCTACCCTTGCCTTCTTTCAAAAAAGGTAACTCCTCTCGAATGTGTCCACCTCCTCTTAGAAGACAAGCTGGAGAAACTACCCAACTGCCATTTGGCATCTTATTGAAGGGAGCCTCAGAACTGAACAGACAAGGAGCTGCTGGGGGCCTGGTGTGCTCGATTCTGGAACCTCATTCACCAGAGGAAGAGCCACCTGCAGGAATTAACCTCACCTGGGCACCTCGAGATTCATAGGGGCTAGGAGCTTGACAAGGCACACACTAGCGAATTCTGAAGGTGCGCACCACCGCACACTTCCTAATTCCACAGGAGCACATCCTGCCATCAGTCCTTGAAAAGCAAGAGCACCAGGAACACTTTGGACAGAGAGGAACTGATCTGTGCAAGCGACATGGTAAGCAGAACGCACAATACCACAGAGCTAAAACAGAGTACTGAAGGGAATGAGCTGCATGTTTGTGGATGAAAACGACTTCATTTTTTTAAAAATTCATTCAGGAAGTGTTTAATCTGTAAATTAAGTCTCCCTGGGTGACATTTTCATGCAGACATTGCTTTCTCTCTATTACAAAAAACCAAACAGATTAGCTGGGCTTGGACCCTACACTGAGCCATTTGCACACTTGAAAGAATGTTCGCAGAGGAAAAGTAAACAGTCCACAGACGTTAATCATATGTTTTACGATAACCATTTAAAAGCTATTCCCTGTACTACCATTATTTAAATGAGACGCTGATGCTGCCATTCACTCGCTGAGCCTGGGGCCTGCAGCAGGCCGCCAGCCATCCAAGCACTGAGCTTGGTCCCGCACTACCACAAAGGGGCTCAGAGGCCGGTGAACACCCGCCAACGTGTGGCTTCTTTCAGGGGCAGCGAAGGCCGCCTAACCAGCAGCCCACCTCAGCCCAACACCAACAATTCCCTCTGACAAAGTGACGTGGAATAGCCATTTCAAATCCGTCCTTCCAATTACTGAGCTGGGAAGAGGAACCTCTAGCCAGCACACGGTGCAGGCTTAAGACACATGCTGGCCTTACCTGTTCTCCCAAAGTCACCCCACTAGCAGCTGGGGCTGCCTGCCTGATTGACATTTTGTTGAAGGGAGGGCTGCAAGTGACCCTGTATTCTCTCCCTCTCCCCTTTGGGAACAAAAGTAAGTCAATGAACAAGTGGGATGGAAAGAGGGGACGACCGTAAAGGCTGAAGGAAAGCGTGGCAACTCCTGCCTGTGACCCTATTGGTGGTTCTGTAAAGAAATGAGGCAACCTCCCTGGGCCTCAGTATTCACATCTGTAAAATGAGCTTGACAATACCCAGAATATTGAAGGGGGGGAACCCAGAAAAATCAGCAAAGAGAATGCAGAAGCCAGCGATAAGGTCTTTTGAGGTTGTACCAGTAAGTCACTGCCAAGTGACTAGAGACCCTTAGCCATCAAGGGAACTGGGGCTTGAGGGACCATGCATGCTGTTAGCTCTCTCTTCTTCCCAGGAAGTTGAGAAAGAGCCCATGAGATGCCTCCAATATGACTCCTGCTTCCAAGTCTGTCTGAGGCTCTTATAGTTATAAACCACTCCTGAAAAATACTGAGGGACTCCTAGCCAAGTCCCCAAGACAGCCCCTTCAGGGGACTTGGAGCTCTAAAGAGATCTCTGCATGGCAAATGGACTTCTCCAAAGGGGAGAGGAAAACCACTCCCTCTCCAGGCTTTGGCTTCCCCAAAAACCTTCCTTTACAGCATCCAGGAGAGGAGCAGGAGCCCCTCCACCTCCGTTCCACCCTCCTTGTGTCCCCAGGCCAGGCAGTCTGTCTTGGCACCCAAGCTCACGGCCTACCTGTTTTGGGGTCTACGTCGGCTGGTAAGTGTGGAGGTGGGTTTCCCGGGGTGAAGTGTTCGTTGCTGTACGTGATAAGAGGCGTGAGGGGGTGGACATGGTGAGGGTGCTGCACCACTGGCACTTTGTTCGACTGTGAGGAGAACAAGAAAGACACCATCGAGTCAGTTCCAGCAGCCCAAGACTGCAGAGCACCGGGGCCCGTGGGCTCCCCTGACAACACCCTCCCGCCTCGGTTTTGTAAGACACACTAGACGCTGCCCACCCACCATCCCCCAGTGCACTTAAGAATGACAGGTAGCTGTAAGGCAGCTCTCTGCATTGGTCTGCTTCCGTTTTTACCTCCCCACTGAGCGTGGCTTCTAAAATACCTTCTCCACCACCACCCATCATGGAGCCCCAGAGTCTGCACTTTTCCCACCGGCAGGTGAATCAGAAGTGGGGGCTTTAATCTCCCAGGCCTACTGCATCTCTGCGTGGCGGGTGGGATCTTCCATCCTAAGGCCCCACTGGCAGGACCTCCAGGAGGCAGGCTCACGGGGGACCAGCTAGGAAAACCTTCACCTACAAGAAACCCAGCAGGGCCCAAATCCTACCCAGCCAGCCCCCATACCCACCCCCCAACTCCTAACCCCTCCCTGCCCTCAGAAACAGCATGCATGCGACAATCCTTTACAGACGGCATGGATAAAAAGCCCCACTCACGGTTTGGGTGGGAGTGTGAACTTTACCAGAAAGCTCTAAACTGCCTGGCAAGCACCTGCATATTTTATGCAGATTACAGCAGCCCTGATTCATCAGGAATTTCATTAGGAAGTCACCCGGGAACACTAATAAATTAACTGGATGATGATGAATTGGGCTCATAAAAGGTATGCGTTTTAGAAATGGGCAGTTCTAGAAAACAAAGTGCAGGCATTTTTGTGTTTGGGAAGGGTGGGTCAGTGGAGAGAAGCAGAGGGGGAAAAAAGAAAAAGAAAAAGAAAGAAAAGCATTTTAAATATGTTTCTAGCCAGGCCCAGGCTTTCCCCAATTATTCTCCTTTCTTCCCCTACCCCACTCTCGGTCCCCTCTCCCCCTCCACTACGCTGTGCTATAACTTAGCCCAGCAAGATCACAAAGAAAAAATTAAGCTGAAACAAGCGAACTACTGGGCCATTTACTGAGAATAATCCAATTGCAAAAAACCCTATTCCCCATAGAGGATTTTCACTAAAATCCTACAACAGGGACATTTAACCAGATTAGGTACCAGCGAAGATAAAGAGGCGAGTATTAGATGATGAATGGATTAGAGTCAAGTTTCATTTCAGAACGTGTCTTCATTTCCTTTTATTACTTTTAGGAAGGCACAACTTGCATTAACATCAAGGAAAAGGAATTGCATTAGAAGAAAAGAAGGTTCTAGTGCTGCCCACTAGCGCCTGTTGAGTTCAGGAATCGCTGAACAGTTAGTTTTCTTGATCGTTTTTTTCTTCTTGTCTTTTTTTAAACGGATGAGGAAGGAATATAATATGGGAAGAGCATTGCAAACTACAGGTTATTGTGGGGAAGGTATCTTTTAAAAAGTGCTTCTAACTTTTTCATGGGTGTGCGGGGAAAAGAAAAATATGGCCTTTCCCTAGATGCTCCGGAAAAAACTACAGAAAAAGCAGTCAATGCTTCCCAATCAGGCTGGTTTACTAATTCCTATAAACAGTTGGACACTTTCTGAGAAAAAGGCTAGCCAGTGGCCCACAGAAGCCTTGTGTTGTGAGATACCATTTTGCAATCAAAGCAATTAAGTTAAAGGCCACCAAAGCAGAGGGAGCTTTGGGAGCCAGTCCTGTCAGCAGCCCTGAAGGTCTGGGCGAGGCCACGCCCAGCAGGGCAAAGGGCTGCTGCCCCACCACCAGTGCTGGCATCTCATGGACGTGCACTGAGGATTCCTTTAGGGGGACATTTCGTTTTAGGACGACTTGAGAAGGAAGGCGCAAATAAGCCCCCACTGTGTGCTGGGGTGGAGAGAGAAAAGAGAAAAGGGGAGGGAGGGAGAGAGACACAGACAGACATAGACAGATAAAGTGGACACCATTCCGAGGAGAGGATGATGACTGTCACTGCCTTCCAGAAGTTTTCTATTTGGTTGGAAAGATACACACCCGCTGACATGAAAGAAAGCAGACCAGTCCCAGAGAGTTTAAAGTAAGTGTAGCGAGACAGCAGGGCCAGCGGGGAGAAGCACGCGAGGCCCAGAGAAGGGAAGACAGTCACTCAGGGGTGGAAGGGCTGACTGAGTGCCAATGGAGCAGGACCACCATGAGCAACGATGGCAGCTCCCTTTCTGGGAGCAGAAAGGCTGGTGGTAGCCATCGAAAGCAGCAGTTCTCAACCCTGGCTGAGCCATGCATCTCTAGGGATGCTGGTTACAGATCCAGACCCCCAATCCCAGGAAATCTCTCAGTGGGGACCTGGTTCAGTGGGTCTGGGCTCAGGACCCAGGCATCGCGGGCCTGCCTGCCAAGTGCCACAGGTGGTGGTTCTGCTCATCCACGAGTGAGAACCCCCAGGCCAGAGACCACATGGGTGCAGGCAGGCACAGAGGTTAAGAGATATGAGTTCTAGTCAAGAATCAAGTCCTAGTTCTTAGGAAACCCATGGAAAGGGCTTAGCATAGAACCCAGCACACGGTAAGTTTATTATCGATTATGGTGATTTATTATTAATATTCTTTGTATCATTAGGAGAAGTTGCCCCATGGCATGGTTCTGTCTGCAATAAAGCAGCACAGATCCCACAGTGATCTTCTCAGCAGGACTAAAGGGAAATGTGGGGAAAACCCTCCTTCTCCACTCGGACGGCAAAGGATAAAGACAGCACTTGGGCAAGAGCGGAGCTAACTGGGTGTGGGATTTAAGGATTCATTCTCCATCTCCGGCTTAGATACAGATGTGAAGGTGATTCCAACAAAGTTGGAGCCCTGTTCTGGCTACCAACTTATTTCCCACACCTGAGCCTAGCCAACTAGTATTTTCCTGTTCAGTGAAAACTCCATAGCTGTGGTCCCCAACCCCTGGGCTGTACCCTGCTCCCATATGTGGAAGAATTGTCTTCCATGAAACCTGGGAGGTGGGGGGTGTCGCAGAGCAGGAGGTGAGCAGCGGCCAGTGAGCCAAGCTTCATCTGTATTTATAGCCACTCCCCATCGCTTGCACCACTGCCTGAGCTATGCCCACCACTGCCTGAGCTATGCCCACCACTGCCTGAGCTATGCCCCACCACTGCCTGAGCTATGCCCACCACTGCCTGAGCTATGCCCACCACTGCCTGAGCTATGCCCGCCTCTGCCCCGTACCACCCCTCCCCTCTGTAGAAAAACTGTCTTCCATGAAACCAGTCCCTGGTGCCAAAAAGGTTGGGGACCGCTGCTCTATAGCATGGGGATGGGGGCAGAGGGGGTGGTAGGAGAGTGGGAGTTTTAGGTGCTGCCTGGCTTTAGAGGGAAAAATGGGAGCCCTGCTACTCTGATCTTGACTGTATGCCAGGCAGGTCCGTATAAAAGAAAGTGACCACCTGTCCGTCCAAGTTGACTGTTCCCAAGCAAGAGGAGGGAATTCTGCAGTCATATCTGCCAAAACCAGAATCTAACTGTCACCTAAACTACCTGAAATCCTCTTATGATGGGAGGACTTCCTGCAAATGCCTTTCTCTCCAGCCTCAGAACTCAGAGTCCTTTCTTTCTACATCACATTATGCCCATTGCTGGGGTTGTGTATGCACCTTTCTTGGTCCTATTACACCTAAGTTGCTTAAGGACAAGGAATGTGATTTCTAGCACCTGAGTCCCATGAAATGCCCAGCCTTTGGGAGTGGTGAACACGATCTCATAAATGACATTAAGTATCAAATAGCAACTGCAAACATTACAAGAGAAGGATAGAGCCAACCACATGTTCATTTTAAGTAAATAGCTGTGCTCTTTACATGTAGTCTACTCAGAAGGGAGCTAGGTGGTCCTTCAGAACCATCCAGTGCAATACCTTTGCAGACACCATCTCAGGTACAATAGTACCTTTAAAACAGTTTTGGAACCCACTGCCATGTCACATGATTCAAGGACTGAATTCAAGGAAGACCTGGGTTCTTTACCAATCTGGCTGTGTAACCTCTCTCAGGACTTCGTTTCTGTCTCTGTAAACTCCAGGTGAGAATCATGTCTACCTCATAGGGTTGTTGTGCAAACCGAATGAGATCACGCATGTAGAGTGCTTCACACAGTGCCTGGCACATAGCTAAACATGCAATACTGCTTTGGCAAATGCAACCCAATGAATACTAATGATTATGAGGTTAGCTACCTCTCTGGTCTCTTCTAATTAAATTCACAGGGGAAAACACACAGCCACAGATTTCATCCTCATTTCAAAGGTAAGGATGTTCATTACAGGACGAGAGCGTCTGCATGATTTGTGACCGCTTTCATCAGGAACACGTCCTTCTTAAAAATGTGATATTTAACTAATGAATATATGTTAATATTTCTTGTGAGAAAAGTCATCACTTTACCATGCCAATGAGTAAGATTGTCAAAGCGAAGCTGTAAGCTAAAAAAAGACAGTTGGATATGACCATGGTCCCTTCCAGAATCAAGCTGACATACATGAAACACCAAAAAAATCCAAAGAGAAAGATGTCCTTTAGACGTTCCCTTTCTCTTTGAACAGCTCCCACTTCTCGAACAAGGTCTTTACGAGCTGTGTTCAAAATTGGGCCACCCAAGAAAATGCAGACGTGAAAAGTAACTTTGGCGGGGGACGGACATAGACAACTTCCCAGAAATGCGTTCATGGCAACTACATTACAGCAACACTCTGTGCTGGGGGTGTTGGTGGGTTAAACAGCCCGCAGTATTTATCCCCTCCCCAGTTATTTTTTTATAAACAAGAGTCCAATGTTCAAGGCAGACAACTAACAAGTACAACAGAAAGCCAGATGCCTTTTAGGTAACTATTTTACCTAAATACCTCTCCAAAACCACAGGGGGTTCAAAATCATTACCGCCAATGACAGCTAACTACCATTCGAGGTTGCGGTACTGGTGGGCCAAGGAGAGCTGCATGGAGAGCCTAAGCTACTGTACTGGACCCTTGAGAA